TTAATTTCGGGACGGCTTAGATTGTATTTCGGGACGGTTCCGGGAGGATGGTGAAAAAAGTTAGTCGAGAGCCCTGGTTGTAATGCACCTTAATACATGCAGTAAAGGGCGCCATCACAAAGCAATACTTAACAATAACAACACCCGTGATGCTTCAGCATTAAAACACCAGACACTGTGAATATCAGGAAAACACAGACACTCATCACCGAGGTCCCAATGGATCCAGCAGAGCAATGGCCTATAGGCGAAACACAGAAGATCAACTAAAGATATGCCATCACATGAACTTACCAAAGCTGAAGTAGACGGTCAGAACTTCATTCATTTTCTTCCCGTGTTACTGATTGTAATCGCTATACGCTGCTCTCTCTCGTCTCCTCCTCACAACTACACTTTCCGCGGCACATGTACTTACAGCCAATCAGCTCTGAATTATGAGATGACGTTTTGGTGGGGCTGCCTGCACTTTGCCCCACTTGTGATTATTTTTTTGCCGCACACATTGAATACAAAAAGACTCTGAGCATGCGCTGTGTCGTTTTTACAGCACCCATTCATTTTGACAGCGAGAGAGAGGGGCAGATCGGAGCTTGCCCCACATCGCTCAACACGGCTCAATATGCACACTGTGGACACTAATCAGAAGAACGCAGACTAAAACAGCACTGAGACGAATCAGATGATTATACATGATATTTAAATGTATTTTACCATATATTTTAGCCCCCCCCTACTGTCAGCCCCTAATGACGAGCCGCCACATGCCACCAAATGCCTTAGGAACATGTACAAATACTATTTCATAACCTGAGGTAAGCCTTTACACTAGAAGAAATACGGGGAAAACTACCATTTCAGATGAGTGAACTATAGAAAAATCATCTGTTTTATATATATGATAACGATAATGAGTTTTTGTGTCTCAAGCGAAAAAGAATCTAAGGGTGCAGGGATTGGACGACAACGTCAAACTGGTCTGGAGGAAGCAGCCGGATGGACAAGTCTTCCAGAAGGAGAAGGAGAAGAAAAGGGATGAGAAAAGTGTATTTCTTTCCTCAAAGTCCTCATGCGACAGAATTCAGCTGATCAGTGATCTGAATCATCTATTAGTTACGATCATTTTGATAGAAGATAGAGAATGTAATGCTTTTCCTTATATGGTTATTAATTTAATATGTTTAGGGTTTTTACTATTGAATGTATTTGCTTGGCTGGCGGGAGATAATAATAAAATGATTGGCTGTTGCTGAATTTTGATTAAGAAGATTCAATTACCAATACAAACAATGACCTTTAAAGTAGAGGCACTACATACTGATATACACCTGAACATCAGCAGGAGAGGACTCTTTAAAGTAGAGACACTACATACTGATATACACATGAACATCAGCAGGAGAGGACTCTTTAAAGTAGAGACACTACATACTGATATACACATGAACATCAGCAGGAGAGGACTCTTTAAAGTAGAGACACTACATACTGATATACACCTGAACATCAGCAGGAGAGGACTCTTTAAAGTAGAGACACTACATACTGATATACACCTGAACATCAGCAGGAGAGGACTCTTTAAAGTAGAGACACTACATACTGATATACACATGAACATCAGCAGGAGAGGACTCTTTAAAGTAGAGACACTACATACTGATATACACCTGAACATCAGCAGGAGAGGACTCTTTAAAGTAGAGACACTACATACTGATATACACCTGAACATCAGCAGGAGAGGACTCTTTAAAGTAGAGACACTACATACTGATATACACCTGAACATCAGCAGGAGAGGACTCTTTAAGTAGAGACACTACATACTGATATACACCTGAACATCAGCAGGAGAGGACTCTTTAAAGTAGAGACACTACATACTGATATACACCTGAACATCAGCAGGAGAGGACTCTTTAAAGTAGAGACACTACATACTGATATACACCTGAACATCAGCAGGAGAGGACTCTTTAAGTAGAGACACTCATACTGATATACACCTGAACATCAGCAGAAGAGCCACTCTTTAACAGTAGAGGCAACATACATCCTTGATATCACACATGAACCTCAGCAGGAGCGGACTTCTTTAAAGTAGAGACACATACATACTGACTATACACCTGATATCAGCAGGAGAGGACTCTTTTAAGTAGAGACAATCGACATTACTGATATACCATGAACATCAGCAGGAGAGTGACTCTTTAAGTAGAGACACTACATAATCTGATATACACTCTGAACATCAGCAGGAGAGGACTCTAAGTAGAGACACAATACTGATATAACCTGAATCAGGGACTCTTAAAGTAGAGGACACTACATACTGATATAACCTGAACTATCAGCAGGAGTATGGACTCTTTAAGTAGAGACACTACATACTGATATACACCTGAACATCAGCAGGAGAGCACTCTTTAAAGTAGAGGACACTACATACTGATATACACATGAACATCAGCAGGAGAGGACTCTTTAAAGTAGAGACACTACATACTGATATACACATGAACATCAGCAGGAGAGGACTCTTTTAAAGTAGAGACACTACATACTGATATACACCTGAACATCAGCAGGAGAGGACTCTTTAAAGTAGAG